TCTGTGCTGGACCCCAGCGCCCCTCCCAGCGCCTCCTCCAGAGCCCTCGTGCGTCTGTGAGAGCAGCGACAATGGATGAATCTCTGGTCACCACCTCAGGAGATTTTTTAAGCGTGATATGAAACCACTGCCATCCTTGGAGGGCCTGGAAAGATCTTAGAATATTGGCAGGTAGCATTTTTAATAACGAATGTCATATGTCCTTGGGCAGCTTCTAGGAGCAAGGAAGGCAAACAGAATGTATACTGATGGGAGAAGAGACGGTGGTACTAGAAGACACTTACGAGCTAAGAAATATCTGGAGGTTATGGAGAGATAAATCACTGCACCTTCCAAGATGATTCTGAACCACCACTCAAACTATTCTTTAATGCCCAGAAATGTATGGCTTCTTCTACTTAATCCATTTCTTCTATACAACGTGAAGAAAACAAGTGCAAAGGATAGACTAAGGTCATGGACTACAGGTGCTTTGCTGGTTTCTAGATTCCTGCTATGAGTGAGACCATCTGGTGTTTTTCATCTTTCTGGCTTGTTTCGCTGAGCAGGATCCCTTCTAGTGCCGTCCATGTTGCTGCAAATTGTATGTGTTTGTCTTTTTTGAATGCTGAGTAATATTCCATGGTGTATATGGACCACGTCTTCTTGATCCAGTCATCTCTTTTGGGGCATTTGGGTTGTTTCCCTATATTAGCTATTGTAAACAGTGCTGCTGTAAACATGGGGGTGCAGGTGCCCTTTTGAATTGCTGTTTCTGTGTCCTTGGGGTTGATGCCTGGGAGTGGAGTCGCTGGATCATATGGAAGCGCTATCTTTAGTGGGTTGAGGAATCTCCACACAGCTCTCCATGGCGGCTGGACCAGTTTGCACTCCCACCGGCAGTGCAGGAGAGTTCCTTTTTCTCCGCATCCTCGCCAACACTTATTGGTGCTAGTTTTTTTAGTTTGTGCCATTCTCACTGGTGTGAGATGGTATCTCATGGTGGTTTTGATTTGCATTTTCCTGATTGCAAGTGATGTTGAACATTTTTTCATATGCCTGTTGGCCATTTGCATTTCCTCTTCAGAGAAGTTTCTTTTTGGCTCTTCTGCCCATTTTGTGACTGGATTATTTACTTTGTTTTTTTGAGTTTCTTCAGCTCGCTAAGAGCATTCATTATTCTATGAGGACATCAGAAGTCTGCATACTTAAATCTCTAGAAACTTCTAAATATTGATTTTACACATGATCATCACCAAAGAAATCTTTCAGGATCAGTACAATCCTGATTACTTTCTGAACTGTGTGTTTTTCTTCTGATTCACCCATGGAAGATACTTGTTTTAGAATTGAAAAATCCCCATACTTTGCCCCCTCTTGTCACTGATGAAGACATGGAGGTGCCGCTGAAAGCCATCTTCACTCAGTGCCCACGGGCCCTAGGAGGAGACAGTGATGATCACTGAGGGAAGGGAAGGGCAGCAGTAGTCTCTTCTGACTTGCTGGAGAAGCAGCTGTCAGTAGTTCTCCTGAAGACTCCTAATAAAGGTTAAAGGCTCCATTTAACTAAGCCCATACCGGGGCCTCCAGGATGCCCTAGGGGTTAGTCTCAGCGCTCTCACCGCTGCGGCCTGAGTTCAAGCCCCGGCCAGGGAGCTACCCGCAAGGCGTGTGGGAGTTAGCCCCCATAAGGGGGCATGGAGCTAGAGCGCATGCGGTGCAGCAGAAGGTCTCTTCTCTCTGTGCCTGCTGCTCCGCTATGCTCTGTGCTTCAGATCTCCCTTGCCCCCCCCTCCTCCCTTGCCCCCCCTCCTCCCTTGCCCCCCCTCCTCCCTTGCCCCCCCTCCTCCCTTGCCCCCCTCCTCCCTTGCCCCCCTCCTCCCTTGCCCCCCTCCTCCCTTGCCCCCCCCACCTATGTCTTCCTAATAATAAATCTATATTCCCAAGTGCTTAAACCAAATAATGTGAATATCAGTCATGATTAAGAACTACCATGCCACTAAACACCCCTCTGTATGTAAAGTATCTATTACCCCATAATACCTTGAGTTTTTAATTTTGGCATTTGATTTATAATATAAATCAACTACACCATTTGTTCTTTCCCTAAAAAAAAGAATTCTCAGTGAATTTTGACATTCCCCAAACTATAGCATTCTTGTGAAAAAGGAAATCTTTTAAATTTGCATGGCATTTTGGCCAAACTGGAAAATTTTAACCAAAATCTTTGATGGCTGAAGTGTTAAGTAACTTCATCTTTGGAAGCTCTTAGAGAAATTTTTAAGACATCTTTTTGGTAAAAGATGTTGGAAAGTTTATATGAATGGATACAGAGTATAGTACTTTGGAAATATTTAGTATGAAGTATATACAGGAGGTGATATTTAAAAAATAGAATTGAGAATGTTCTCCCTTTGTCACATTTTCCTTGTGAGTTTTCAAGGTACCTCAGTGCCTGCAGAGAATACTTCCCTAGCTCCAATTTTGACCTATAGTAGAGTCAAAAATGTCAATTTAGGGCCTTTCTGGTGGCGCAGGGGTTAAGATGCAACCTATGAAGCAATCCGCAGCCACCACAGCATGAGTTCAATTCCCAGCCGGTCAAGGAGAAACCCACATGGCAAGACAGACCTCTCCTGTCTCTCCCGCTGCTCCCCTCAGCAGTGTATTTTGTCAATCTGCCTGTTCTGTTCCCCACTCTGTCTCTGGTGAATTCCCTCACCTTCCTGTGCATCTCTGGCCTGTACCCCAATTCTTATATAAAAATAAATCTTTAAAAAAAAGTCAATTTAATGTCTGCTAAATATAACTTTGAAGATTAAGGACAATTTTATGAAATATTACAAATAAAAAGGTGACATTTGAAATATATTCTTTTGAAATATGACCCTGAGGTGCGATAAGTAGATATAACTAGGTGAGCAATTATATATATATGTATATTATGAATAATCTTTCTATATTGTATGTGTATAAATATTCAGATAATGTAGACAAGTTGCTTTTGTTCTAAATCATTAAAATATATTGTAAATTTTGAAACAATGTATTTAGGAAATTATATAAAATGAAACCATTCTATAGCTCCATCAATTTAATCAAACCGAGTTGTCAGTTGATTAATATTTAAAAAATTAAATAACTTGATCACTTTTACCCTTAAAAGTGTATAGATTTGGTTGATAAAATACCCTAGATATTCTGGGAACTTTATTCTATTCTTTGAATGTTGAATACTCAAATCAGACATCAAATTAATTAAAAAGAAAAAGGATGTTATGAAAATCATTACTTATTTTGCTAAATTAATGGATGCTTTTTTTACACGCAGATCCTCATATTTTTGGTGGTTCATATGGGGAAAAAACTCAGTCAACTGAAATAAGAAATTTTTATGACATTAGCCACGTGGAAATTTGAACCATTCTCCAAAGAAATTGTTTTGACTAGACTCTGTGCTGCGGGAAAGAAGCCACTTACACCCTCTGGGTCAAATGCCCTAGAGCTTGCAACCCCCTTGCACAGAACTGTCCTTCTGTGGCAGAGATGTGATGGGCTCTCGGGCAGTGTGGCTCATCTTGATCTCAAGCTGCTTGGAGAATTAGAATTAGTCAAAGAGCAAAGGGAATATGAAATTGAAAATTAGGGTGAAGAAGTGAAAATATCTTGCAAGTTTGATGCTGCAAGGAGAGATGTGTCTAGAGTAGTTGCAGGGAGAGGTACAGACCCAATGGTAAGAAGTCCTGAAAGCACCTCATACCTGCCACTAAAGAGGGGTAACAGGGGGACCTCTGCCCCTCTCTGCAAAGTGGCTTCATAAACAGGGGCATATGCAAGTGGGAAGTCAGGGCTTCTAAAGGTTTCTGCCCCGTCGGCGCCTGTGCCGGAGGTCACTGTGGGCTGGTCAGTTCCCCTTCACTCCCCTCTGCTGTGCAGTTGGATGGAACAGATAATGTAAGATGAGAATGAGATTTTGTTTTTCTTTTGCTGCACAGAAAGTTATTCTAGAAATGGTCTCAATTTAAAAACATTTGTTTAATAATTTGATATGATTCTAACCCAAGTAAAATTCTAGAAAGGAAATAAAGGTTTTGAAGTTTTAGGTTTCCTATGTGGGTGCAGTAATAGCCAAATCCCAGCTCCATGAAGTTTAAGGGAGATAGGATATGATTTCAGAATACAAGAAAGTATAAAAATACCTCTCTTTCTGGAATCTTCTTTTCTTCCACATGAGAGTAATTTGTAAATTATTTTTATGCCCATTAGCTACCTAACCTGTTAAGACACACTTAATGTTTCTATAAGCCAAATAAGGATAAGGAAAATATTATTAGAAAGCTGAATTCCATTTCACATGAAGAGCCTTTAGCTCTTTCTGCTTCTAGCTCCATGAAGGAGAAAACAGTTGTTGAGCATCTCCTAAGGACTAAGGGGGTAGGGTAGCATCTGGTCCCCAGCAGTGTGTTAGGGGGTGATGCTGTAGCCTGTCTTCCAAGGCTGACTGGCACGCTTCTCAGACCTTCAGTGGGTTTAAAACATAGTGAAAAATGCAGCAGAGTTTGACTAAGAGACCACCACCCTAGGAAACATGTGATTTCCTTTTCCAACATGCCCTCCACTCACCTGCCAGAATCATTTCCGAAGTGAAGGTTGAGAGGTGGGATGAACTGGCAGATCAACTTGGGAAGACCTTGCAGAAATCAGCATTAGCTAGTGGATGGGGTTGCAGAGTAGTCTGGCAGAAGCAGCCCCTCCAGGGAATGCTGCTCCAGGCCTGGGGGGCTGCCTGACCTCGAGGCAGGCAGTGGGGCAGCGACCAGGTCATAGAATGTTCAGTGGGCTCCTCTGAATGGCTGAGTGGGTGCTCTTTGTAGTCAATAAAAATATTTAATTTGTGAAAAATTCTCTCTCAGCATCACTCTGTTGGTAACAAGCATGGTATTATAACAGGGATAATCATTTCTATAACATGACAATAAAAATGAAGTAACTGATTTAAATCGTGCAATTTTATTTCTCAGGAATCCGAAAAGAAAGGGTTCATTGAACGAATATACATGGTGCAGGATATCGTGTCAACTGTCCAGAACATCTTGGAGGAATTAGCTTCTTTTGGAGAAAGAATTAAAAAGTAAGTTCTGCATCTGCGTCTTGGTATTAGAAGGAGAGCTACTGTCCATGAGGCCCACAGGGATAGAAGGGAAGCTGGGGAAGGTGGGAACAGAAGAGACAGACAGGTGGTCAGTGCCTCAGAACCAGGGCACCCCTATGGCCCAGTTAAACCAATCATCCCTACAGAATTATTAATAACATCCCTTCTCCCCTCAAACATATCCTGCCGTGGGCAGTGAACCTCAGATGTGGAAAAAATATATATATATATATATATATATATATATATATGCTATTCAGAAATTTAAAGGGAAGCAAATATGTTCTGAAGGAGGATTTTTTTTTTTTCTGAACCAGAGAACATGGTAAGTGGCTTGAATGCAGCTTTTTAAAATTTTTCTTTTTTTTTTTAAGATTTATTTATTTATTTACACAAGAACTGGGGTACAGGCCAGATGCATGGGAGGGTGAGCGGATTCACCAGAGACAGAGCGGGGAACAGAACAGGCAGACTGATGAAATACACTGCTGAGGGGAGCAGCGGGCAAGACAGGAGAGGTCTGCTGCACCATGTGGGACTCTTGCCGGCAGGTCGGGATCGAACTGGTGCTGCAGAGGCTGCAGACAGCTTCACAGCGCTGCGCTCAACCACCTGCACCACCAAGGGAGGCTCTTTTTAATTTTTCAAAGACTGGTTATTATCTAGTGGCATCATAGATGCAAAGTTGGCAAGTTAAATCATCATGTATGTGGATGACTTAAAATACTAGTCAATATGCTTTTTCTCTAAAGGGGCAGAGAGTAACTATTTTCAATTCTGTGGGCTGTGTGGTCTCTTTACAATGATGCAGTTCTATTAAGGTAAAACTGCCATAGTTGATATGTAAATGAATGGGTGTGAGCTGTGTTCTAATAAAACTTTATTTACAGAAACGTGTGACAAGGCTAGAATTGACCACATATAAACCATAGCTTGTATTCTCTCTCTTAGAGCAGAAGGGCTAAATTGTCTAGTGGTGTTCAAGTGGAGAAAGACTTTCTGTGATTCATTTTGTTTGTGAGTTTTTACCAGATTTACACATTCTTACTCCCACTGTCCAGGTATTAGTAGAAGAACACTTAAAGATTAGTAGCATTTTTGCTTCTAAATACTAATGCCTAGAAATTTTTATTTCTTTTGGCTTCATATTAATTGGTAAATAATGCCTGAATTCAACCCCAAAATTCTTTAACAAAAGCATACTTGTAGTACAAAATAGTGAGGGATGGGATGGCAATTCTTCATTCACTCATTCAACTACCAGTTATTGAGTCTTAGGCATGGACATGATCTAACAATGAATAAAAATAACCGCAACATGGAAAAGAGCAACATCAGCTATTGCCCCGCTCCAGCCAGACTCAGTTCTAAGCCCTTTACACATAGTTTCTTCTTCAAGGAGTTGCTTAAAGGAATAAGTGACTTCAGCAATTCTATGGAGCAAGGATTTTTTAGTGTCCCCATTTTGCAGATGAGGAAATTGAAGCACAGAATGATTATCTCATAGCCCAGGTCACAAAGAAAGTGAGCTGGGCAACTTGGATTTGAGCCTGACTTCTTGATGCATTATCCTGTCATTACGCTCTAGTGATCTATTTTGCAATGAGGGAGAAGAATGATAATAAGGCAATTAGAGTTCAGTAGCACTGATGCTAAGTAGAGGTTAGATAGGATGCGGGTGGGGATGGGGGGTCCGACCTGCCCAGATGGGAGGTAGGAGGGAGAGAGACAGAGGGCAGTTGTGAAGAAGCAACAACTCAGAATCTCTGAGAATGGAAGACAATAGCTGGACATAGGACAATAAATGGGGGTCTCAGTTGGCGGAACAAGTGTGTCTGGACTCAAAGCCCAAGGCTGTGCTGGCTGTAGGGAGATGTGGGGCCTGTCATAGGGGTTGGTGGTGGCAGTGTTTGGAGCTGATGCTGACCAGGCAGGGCCTCTAGCGGATGGAAAAGTCAATGAAAAAATGGGGTGAGTGATGTGTGGCGGCTATGAGGGTGAGAGGGTGTGGGGTGGGGGCAAGCCCGGGAAGGAAGGCCGTGTCCTGGCTAACACGCGCTATGTGCTTGAACATCTCTAGAGGACAAATGTGGCTGTTGTGTAGTTGATAATCATCCAGGAACTGTGTCTGATGAAAGAAGAAGACAGAGCCATTTGAACAGGCCCCCACTCTACAGGGCTTTGAGGGGCGGCCATGCCCAGCACAGCTGTGGGAGCCACATCTGAGATGCATTTGCAGCCATGAACAGGGCACTGTTCTCCCCAGCTGCCACACAGGGAGGCTCAGAGGCTCAACTCCTATTCATTCTCTGGCCATTCATGACGACAGTGACCTTAAATCCTGCTGGGTATTCAAATGGGATGGCGTGTGTAATTCTGCTGGAATTCCATTGTGATTCTCTGCTGAAGGACCAGGAAACCTTTTACGGAATTTTTGGAAACTAGCAAATAAATAGACTTACATAAAACCCTCAGGGTGAGGCCCCCTGTTCCTAGGTGGAGAACCCCAGTGGTATTTATATGGGATGGCCTGTATTTTTTTTTTCATTTTTTTAATTTAATCATAATTTTATTAATAGATGTGTAGGATGTGTCTACCTTTTACTTCTTTGATCATCCATGAGGCAGTGAACATTCATATGCACACACGAGTCATATTTGCACTATTTTGCTATAGAGCATAATTCTGAAAGTGCAATTGTTTTTTTTTTTTTTTTAAAGATTTATGTATGCATACAAGAGCTGGGGTGCAGGCCAAAGGTGCGGGGGGTGAGAGGATTCACCAGAGACAGAGTGGGAAACAGAACGGCCAGATCTACTGAAATACGCTGCTGAGGGGAGCAGTGGGCAAGTCAGGAGAGGTCTGTTGCACCATGTGGGTCAGCTCCCTGGCTGAGGATCAAACTCGTGCTGCTATGGTTGCCGATAGCTTCATAATGCTGATGTTTAACTTCTTATGCCCCCAGGGAGGCCCAGAAAGCACAACTGTTAATAAGACAAACATTGACCTGCCAAAAATCTATCAGCTTTCACACTCACCCTCAGTTCTTGAAAGGATCTTTTCTCCCATAACTCATGTCGATGTGTGTTTTCTTTTTTTCTGCTCTTCTGTACCATCTCCAATTACCATCTCTAATATTATGCAAGTATCAAATGTATGTGTAGATATGGCTGAAGCATTTTCTTAGCGTGTAGCCTTGTGTTATTCCTGACAGCAGGCAGGATGGGTCAGAAGAGCGATGTATGTTACGTGTCCTGCAGTCATGGAGAGCTGGTGCCACCATCTGTGTCCTTAAGTAGTTAGGAATCTCCTCAGAGGAGATCATGAGATTAAGGAAGACCTGGGACAGGGAAGGCATCCCTTCAAATGTCCCAGAATAAGCTTGGGGGACACATTCTTGGGCAGAAACTGCCCTGATGAGGTGTGATCTTGAGAATTACTAAGCGATGAAGATAAGAGAGCAGATTAAGTATAGTTTGAATCATGGTGAGGACTTGGGAATGACAGATGGCAGCACCTTGTATTTAATTTCAGGGAGAAATGTTGAAAAAGACTAAGAAATTAGGGCAGAACGACCAATTTGGGGGCTGAGGCCAGGTCAGTGGGGCACTCACAAGCTCCTGTACAAACTGTGCCCATGAGAAGGGAAGCATGAGTAGGGTCACCACAGGAGAATAATCCACAGGGTCTCACGACCAGCTGGGTCTGTTTCCCTGGGAAGATGAGTCAGAAGACTTCTTTCATCTAAATCTGGTAAATGAGGATAATGTGTATCCTGATGCAAAGGTCAGCCAGTTGGGGGAGGAACTAGGGTGTCCACCTCATCAGATGTGGGCAAGATCATTTTTATTTTGTGTTTCCAATTTCAAAAATGATATTCTGAAGCATGCCAGTGAAACTGGATGGCTGAATGAATGAGGGTTTCATTGAATTGCTTTTATTCAATGAAAGACTTGACTCATTTGTCTCCTTATTGCCTAAGTCAAGGGTTCCTTTCTTGGGATTTAGAGGACTCCTGGTTAGGAAAACTGGGGAAGTCAATAAAAATGTTTGATAGATGATCTGATTTTGGAAAGCTTTGATATACTGGGGTTCTTCAGCCTTGATTGTTCCATGGAAGCCCAAATACTGCAAGATATTTCAAGAAAAATGATGAGAAGGCTGATACAATTTGAGTATCAGAGGATTGCTATGTAGTGTCCTTGAATTAAGTCCTCAGTCCTATAAACAACAATATACAATAGGTGAAATTAAGGAAACTATCTCTGCTAACATTTTCTTAAGTGTGTACTCTAGAGGCAGTGAGTATGGGTTCTTGAACAGAATCCAGATCCCTTTCTGAATCCAGATCCCAATTCTACCACTTACCCTGGGCCTGAGTGATTTGGGGCCAATTATTTAACTGTTGTGACTCATTGTTCTCTGTTTGGTAGAATGACAATAATAATAATTCCTACTTCATAAAAATTTTGGAAAAATTAAATAATTTCTTTCATATGAAGAGTTTAAACCAGTAAATGGAATGTAACAATCACTTTAAAATATTGGTTATTAGAAGTGTTATTTTTGGTAAATTGCTTTGATTTTCCTCCTCTGTGTCTAAGTTTAAAAAGAAAAACAGTGAAACATTTTATACTGAAGTTGTGGGTTGCTGAAAGAAAAATGTGTAAGTTAATTGACATGGTTGCTGGGAGGGAAAATCTGTTCATGTTTACAAGGGGATTTGGTGCATATCTCTGCCCCCACACAAACACACACCACACACTTGTGCACAAACACACAACTGATGAGAACTTCATAAGGATTGCATTAATTGAGAAAGAATTGACACTGTGATAAAATTTAAGTTTTCTAATATATGTATATTCTTCCTCCGCTATTCAGGTTATCTTTATTTCAATACTACTTTAGATTTTTTATGTGTAGAAGTTTGACATATTTATGTGAGATACATTCCCAGGTACTTGATTTGTTTCAT